ACAAAAGACATTTGACAAGGATTTGTTTTTTTTTTTAAGAAAGGCAGATGCTCTCAAAAAATTATTGTTCTTCCAACGTTTCTGATCATGGGGTTGCATTTTGCCCTCGCCCACCCAGCACAGGCGTCAAGCAGACTCTGGCTTGATCCGAAGAATCGCCCCTTCTCCTGGGCACAGGGCCTGGGGACCGCCCGGAGAGGGCTGGCTGTGGGACAGAAGTGGAGGACAAGACAGGACCGGCTCACAGGGTGAGCCTGGCGCACCACAGCACTCAGGGGCTTGGCCGCAGTCAACCCATGCGAGGTGCAAAACCCCTTTTCCCGGGTGCCCAGACTCAGCCCGCAGCGGGGGAGGCACAGCGGGATGCAGGGAGGACAGGGGGTGGTGTCTGCGGTGGGGGGTACCTGCCCACCTCCCCGCCAGCAAGGAGGTGCCCGCGGGCACCCGCCCAGCTGCAGCTGGGGAAGGGCGACTAAAGCAATCGACTTCTTGGGACAAGTCTGGGTTAGAAAAATGAACTTGTGCCAGTGAAGGCAACCACAGGCACCAGCCGAATGAGCCACCCTGTGCTGTGGGCAGGGGTGATGGGTGCTGGGGAGAGCAGGGGGACACGGGATGAGCAGGAGCAAAGGACTTGGAGGATCAGCTGTGGCCTGGACCGTGTTGCGGATGTGCAACCCCCCAGTTACTTGTCCTCTTCATCTGCAAAGAAGAAGAAACGTGCATTGCCTGGCCACCTCCTCCCTGGGGGCCTGGGGCAAGCCAGGAGCCCCAGGGGAGTTTACACATGGTGGGGATGGGGGGCAGTGGAAAGCAGCCGGTGGCGAGGAGACCCCAAGCTCACTCACCTCTCTGCTCCTCTGAGTCGCTCTCTGCCTCCTCCGAGGAACCTGCTGGGGGTTGCAAGAAAGCCCCAGATCAACTCACACGCAGTGTTATTTGCGGTCCTCCTCCCCTCCTGGTGCTGTCACCCCCAGATTATGCTGATGGTTATGTGCTAAGGGAAATGCCCCCCCCGACCCAGGGCACAGCACAACCTGCATCTAGGAACCCCAAAACCCATCCCTCGTCTGCCTGGGGCTCTTGCTGCATTAACCACGGGCTGGCTGGGACGTTCCCCCGCAGCCCTGGGCACCAAGATGGCATCACCCTTTCACACACGGGCTGCAAACCCACCTGTGCCGGGTGACTGGTATCCCTCACAGCCGATCTTTGGTCTTTTCTCGCTGTAGCGGGCGCAGAGGCGGGCACTGCCCGCCTGGTTACAGCACCAGTCATACAACTTCAGCTCCTGGTCTGGAGACAAAAATTAGAGTAAGGGCCTGAAGGGGAGAGGAGGGGGAGACGGGCTGGCTCTGGGCAGGCAGGGTGCTCGCATCAGCTTTTGGCGGGTCCACGCTCCCACCGAGGGCAAGAACATGTCAGGAAATAGGTTGGCACGGAGATTAAAATGATTTAGAGGCTACAGCGATGTCAGCCTCAGCCGGGGGATGCCAGGGCTGGCTGTGC